TAGTTCTTGTATACAAGGATTGTCACAAGAGTTACTGGATACCCTGTCTATATGTCGATATATTTTATTATATTAAAAATTATAAATTAAGTATCACTGATTGAATAATATCTTTTATTAAGGTTGCACAGATAACTTTTAATCTGTGGTATCGATTATCAGAAGTTCTTTATCAGAAAAATAGTGATGACCTTAATGCCGTATTTCGACCTCGTATTGAGAGATTAATCAGTGCTCTCTGTAGGCATTGTCAAATGGAACCAGACCATGTCAGTATATTTGCTATCAAAATTTTATTAAATATTTTACATGAAATAAAATAGATAATTATACCAGAATTATGTATTGATTATCAGTTGGGTCTCGTCGAAGAAGGAGGAGGAGGAGAAGAATTCGCTGACTTCCGAAATCGCGTATCAGATTTGATAAAAGATGTAGTGTTTGTAGTTGGAAGTAGTCACTGTTTCCGACAAATGTTTTCATCACTGACCGGAGGACCTGGCCCGCAAGGTCAACCTGTACATACACCTACTTGGGACTCGACCGAAGCCGCACTTTTTATAATGCAGGCGGTGGCAAAAAACATTTTACCGTACGTTCTTTTTATATTTGTTACGAGATATCTAAAGATTAAATATAATAGTGTTTTCTTATAACAGAGAAGAAAATGATGTGGTTCCGAGAGTGGTACAAGATATTCTTAATTTGCCGGAAAATACTCATATAGCCGTACGCTATACTAGTATTCTCCTCTTAGGCGAGCTATGTGAATGGCTAGATAGGCATCCACAATTATTAGGTAAGACTTTGATAAATACTTGTCATGTTCGGATATTTCAATGGCATTCATATATACTTTGTATTATTTCAGAACGTGTTTTAAATTTCCTCTTATACTGTTTAAATCAAAGAGGTTTAGGAAGTGCTGCTTCGGGCGCATTATTAAGTATATGTACAGCTTGTCCATTGCACATGACAACGCATTTCTCTGGACTTTTGCAAATAGCACGTTCTCTTGACAATTTTGCTATTAGTAATGACGCAGCTATTGGCCTACTAAAAGGTAAGATAAAATTTTATAAGCTATGTTATAATACAAAGTGTACGCGATTACGGAATATATTATATATGATCGTATTGTATATTGATTAATTATTTTATGGTAAACTGAATGAAAAGCGTTTTGTTTACTGCAGGAGTATCGATCATTTTGGCGAAATTACCACACGAAGAAATTATTCCGGCAATAACAGAATTATGCCGCTTTCAAGCAAGTTCTCTATGGACGCTTCTAGCAAATAGACGTCAAATCGAGAGAGGAACAAAGACTGATCCTGTGATATGGCTGGATAGATTAGCTGCTATATTTAAACATACTAATCCTCAAATCGATGATCCTAATAAACCTCATCCTTGTGAAAGCGTACTCACTGAAGTGAGTGTTATCAAAAATTTAGAAGCGAAATTCTTTATATGTTAATAACATCCATTATGTATATTTATAGATGTGTTGGCCTGTATTGTCCAATGTATGTGAAACATATCAACAAGATGTGAGAGTCATGGAAAGATGTTGCCGATGCATACGTTTTGCGGTACGTTGTGTGGGCAAACATTCTACCCAATTGCTTGAGCCAATTGTAACACAAGTAAGATTATAATATGATATCTAACATCCCAACAATATTATTACTAATGCACTTATTAAATACATACTTGTTTTTTTTTTTTCACAGATTGTACGATTGTATACGGTACATAAACATAGTTGTTTCTTGTATCTTGGTTCTATATTGGTGGACGAGTATGCAACCGACTCAGAATGTGTACTGTTAAATATGTTACAAGCTTTCATCGGTCCCACTTTTGAAATTCTTGAACAAGAAGATGGTTTAAAAAATCATCCTGATACAGTAGATGATCTATTCAGGCTCTGTGCCAGGTATTGTGATAATTAATACTATCGCTTTTATTGAAATTTTGACTGATGTTTCATTCTTTTTATGCAAAAGGTTTCTTCAAAGAGCTCCTATTCCTTTATTATGTTCTCTTGCTATTGGGAGCATTGTAGATTGTGCTATAATGGCTTGCAGTTTGGATCATAGGGACGCTAATAGTTCAGTAATGAAATTCTTTTATGATCTTTTACATAGCGGTCGCAGTTATAAGGTAATTCTTTGTGAATTTTTTAAATGAATATTGAAATAAAATCTCTAATGTGTAATTCACATAGATTAGCTCCAATTATAGATTCTATTTTTTTTTTTTTTTAGGACCGATCAGACTACACGATACGACGACAACTGGTACAAAATATATTGAAAGAAAAAGGCCAAACATTAGTCATAAAGTTACTACATGCTTCAGTGTTTGAATTGTCTTCTTATATGCTGTCTGATGTGGCGGATGTTATTATAGAACTTACCCGAAATACAGATGTACGTATTTTATTATAGTTTTTATCCTATATGTTTTGCATTTTACATGGAGAAATCATATTTTCTATCAGCTCATGTCAAAATGGTTAGAAGAAGCTATTAAGACAATGCCATCGCAAAATGCAGGCGGAGCTCTTACAGCAACACCCGAGCAACTACTTGAATTTCATTGCATAATTACAAGGTACGTAATATACAACTTTATATCAGTGTAAATATAAATATCGGAAAAATTCATAGTAATTTTTATAAAAAAAATTAATGTTTATATATTTGTTATAAATTATAAACGATTGGTTTAATACCTATTTAAATTATTATGAATTTTTTAGCAATTCACAGAATTTAATTGATTTATGTCGTTTTGTTTTTCATAATATTTAGGTCAGAAACACCGAAAGCCGTCACAAATGCTCTACGAAATTTTGCGCGCCTGTATCGCTAATGCATTTTAATGTATATTTACTTTGTTAAATTCCTCAAAAATTATTTATAAGATCTTCCAGCAAGTTTCGATTAACCTCTCGAAATAACAAAATTTACTATGGAAATCTCGACGCTATACAAATATATTAGGAAAAAGGTACGAAGATTTTTTTATGTTCTTACTATCTATAGCTATGTTTGCAAACTACACGCACGCGCACACGCGCGCGCATACACACACACACACACACACACACACACACACATCTATACACACGTGTATATACTGTATTTGAATATAAAATGACTTTTATAAATATATATCTCACAAAATTCTTTATTCTTTATATATTTATTTTTATCAACTTTCTTTAATTATTACGTATTTATATTAGAAATACATACCTATACATTAGTAGATATTTATTACTAGATATACACAAATATTGACATAAAAGAAAAAAAATTTTTTAATTTTAATGTGTTAATTAATTCTTCGAACAATTTTAAATAGAATATAAAAATTAAATTTTTTTGCAGACATACTATAAATAGTAAACTTACGAAATCCCTTAACACTAGAACAGTGGCGATTTGGGCCTTCTGTTAGATTTGGGCCTTCTTAGGACCGGTTTCATCAACGTCAGTTAACTTAATCGTTAACTAACTGACCAATCGCATTTGCTGTTTAGTAGAATTGACCAATTACAGTTCACAGTTAATCCCATGGAAGATAGAGAACAGGAAGCCGAACTAGGCTTTGAAAAGTGTGGTCAAAATTAGGGTATCAATCATAAAACTTTATCCCTAGGATGGAAAGTGAAAAGTGAAAATTTTTACCATTGAAAATAATGAAGAAATTTTTCGATTTTCACTGAGGGATAAAGTTTCATGATTGATACTCAGATTTCTCATTGGTATTGGTGGTGCTCGGTAGGCGGCGTTCGAATAACAAAACCTCTCTCATATACGCTTACATACAATCACACAATAATCAAAGAATAGATATTCTTTAGGTTTGTTCGCGTCGCATGCTCCAAATTAACCCAGAGAGCACTTGGATCACAGGTAAGGTAGCGGTTAGAACAGTTGCATTCATGTGCTCCAATATTCAGTGACACGAACGGATTTAAGACAAGTAAGCATGTCACCTAACCTAATCCGTGAGACCACACGAACAGGTCGGACATGTGCCTCGTTTCGTTTCAGGTATTTTGTGTTACCTCGATTATTTGAAAAGCGTTTTTATACAAAATAAATGCGCTTTTAATAAATATAAAAGTTATATTATATTGTATTAATATTATTTTATTTTTTAATTTTTCTTTTATTTATTTTATTTTATTATTTTATATTATTAATATTATATTTTTATATTTATATCAAAATTCGCATTTATTAAATGTTTTTATACAAAATTAATCTGAAATACTTTTTTTAATACAGTATGTTTTTAACCATTATGTACGCGTGCGTAATATGCTCCAATCATACCATCTTCTGAGGTGAGGCAAATGGAGCGTACTCTTAATTGATCCATGGAGTATGTTCTAACGCGACGCGAACATCTAGTCATCATATTAGTTTTGGTGATGCGAACGTATTCGAGCGTGTTGGGCACATTGGAGCGTGCAACGCGAACAAATATTTTGATATCATTTGATAATAACAAGAAGACATAAATTGTCATTAAAATTGCGTGAAGAACAGACCATTCTTCACGTAAAATACGACCTATGAGAACGATGTCAAACAGAAGCGACATCTAAATGGAACTACTACATGAGCTGAAAAGTCCCGGGATTTTTAATGAAACAAGCGTTTTTTGGGCAAAGTTATATTTATTCCTCAACATAGTTGCCTTCGAGGGCGATACACTTGGTATAGCGATTTTCCAACATTTCGATGCCCTTTCTGTAGTACGAAACGTCCAAGCCTTCGAAATACGCCTCGGTTTCCGCGATGACTTCCTCATTCGATGTGAATCTCTTTCCCCGGAGCCACCGCTTGAGCTTTGGAAACAGGTAATAGTCGCTGGGGGCCAAGTCTGGAGAATACGGTGGGTGAGCAACTAATTCGAATCGTAATTGGTCCAATTTGACCATTACTTTCAAGGACGTGTGTGACGGTGCGTTATCAGGCCATACCCTTCCCGGCCGAGCGTTGGTCTTTTGGCCGCTTTGGTCGGCTTTCGTGGCTTTTCAGCCACTCTGCAGACTGCCTATTGGACTCAGGCATATGGTAATGGACCCACGTTTCATTCATCGTCACAAAACGTCGAAAAAAGTCCGCTCGATTACGCTGTAACAACGCCAAACCGACCGTTGAATCATCAACACGCTGCTGTTTTTGATCGATGGTCAGCAAACGCGGCACCCATTGTGTCAATAGCTTTTTCATCTCCAAAACATCGTGCAAAATGTATCCCGCCCGTTCTTTTGAGATGCCCACGGCCTCAGTTAACTCGCGCAACTTCACTTTACGATCACTCAAAACGATTCGATGCACTTGCTTTACGATTTCCGCATTCGTAGCCTCTTTTGGCCTTCCAGAGCGAGGTGCGTCTTCGGTGCTTGTACGACCCATTTTAAATTCACTAAACCACCGATAAACTGTTGTTCTCGAAGGAGCAGATGTGGGATAACATTTCTGCAACCATTTCAATGATTGTCCAGAAGTTTTTCCCATCAAAAAACAATGTTTGATCAAGATGCGATATTCCTGTTTTTCCATTTTTTTTACGAAGGCGAAAGTAACGCCACTTAAACGACTGTAGCTTGTAAACGAATGAACGAAAGGTCATGAAACTTCATATATAAACTAGTGACAGATGAACCTCTCGAAATGAATCATGTTCATTTTCTAGTGGCACCACCTATTAAAAAATCCCGGGAATGAACTTTTCAGCCCATGTAGTAATTTATAGCGTTTTCTATCACCCACTAGTGCAACATTCAGACAATGTATCGTGTTTCCATAGCTAGTGGTAAGCGAACTCATTTGGTGTTTTTCCGTGATTACGGTCCAAATTTTATGCATAAAGTGGGATTTTGCTATACCGTCTCAAGGGACAGTATAGAGTCATAATGTTTTCACTGAATCATAGCGTTTTCACTGAGTAACTTTGCACCTGTTGCGTGTGAGTGCTACAAAAGTATACATACACCATAGTGTACACTACTTCATGCTATCGTGTTTAATTTTGCTGCCGGTTGACTTCCATTTTCAAATTTTTAATGTCATACTAGCTCCACACGGTCTCTTTGAGATCGTGTAACAAAACCTCACTTCATGCATAAAATTTGCACTACACTATAGCCACGGAAACACGTTACACTGAATGAGTTCGCCTACTACCAACCAAGGAAACATGCTACACTGTTGGAATGTTGCACTAATGGGCGATAGTGCAGCTAGAGAAAACGCTATCAGTGTGACATTTAAAATTTGAAAATGAAAATCAAGCGGGAATAGAATTTTAGCGCAATAATGAAGTAGTGTACATTGCAGTGCATTAATTCGCTGGATTATAGTAGCGGCTATAGTAACGATGTTTATTTTTTACTCAAATGCTATCAACTTTACAAAAAAACTGCAAGAGATAAAAATCATTAATTTTCTTCTCATAAAACTCTAAGAATTTTTTCAGAATTTTTTATCAACTTTTTAGTACTGCATTTTTTTATTTTCGATTAAGTCAGGCCGCTATTATGACCCAGCGAATTAATGCACTGCATTATACACCATGGTGTGCACCACTCTAATGCAGCTGATAGCATTTTTCACTAGGCCACATTGAAGCATCAAAAATTCATTCAGCAGCACTATACGAGGCTGCCAAAAGTGCGAGTTTCTTGCACTCTCAACTAAACACATGTTCGACCTTAGTGCGGTTTTATAGTGCACATTTGCCGCTACATTTGATAATATAAAATATTGCGTATTTCGATACAGAAGTATTTATGCAGGATACATACATGTCTACTATTTTGTAAACTGTTCTGGAAACGCGAAAACAACTTTTCAACATTAACGTAATTACTGATATTATTATATAATGTCCTAGTAAAGAATTTTTCATGTATTATATAAATTATTATATAAATATATATTCTTGTGAGGCTTCCACGGATGCTTTCTATATAAAGATTATACGTTTCGCAGGTTTTCTTCATGTTCAGATCCATTCTTGGAATGCCAACGTTTCGTGAACCTTGCAATTCACTTCATCAAAGTGAACAGCCTGATATTTCAGGCTCAAGGTATTAAGCTACTCTTCGCCCTGATGAAGTTATATATATATATATAAAATTACATAATATGTATATAATACGACATATTTCATATGTTCATATATGTCCATACATCTTTCTTTTGTAGAATTATTGTTTAATATGATAAAAATAATGAGAAAATGTAAGAAATAATTAAAAGAATAGGTTGCGAAAATGATCTTGTTAATTATTTTTTTTTACGTTTTCTCATTATTTTTCTTATACTAATAAATTTAGAGTGTCTGGGCTTAAGACTGCGTTCCGTTTCACGCATATGTGCGTAATGCATCCTTGTTTAACATTCTATGAATAACAAGGATAAAAGATGCATTATGCATGAAACGGAACGCAGTCTTAAGTCCCAGACACAATGCGAAGGAATAGCGATAGCGATAGAAATAACACGATTTCATCTCAAACTGTATATTCCAGTGTATGATTTCTGATAGGTTGATCGTATTATTTCTATCGCTATCACTATTCCTTTGCATTGTGTCTGGGGCTTAAGGCTGCGTTCTGTTTCACGCATGATGCATCTTTTATCCTTGTTATTCACCGAATGTTAAACAAGGATAGATGATGCATTACGCATATCATGCGTGAAACGGAACGCAACCTAAATTTATTAGTGTAAGAAAAATAATGAGGAAACGAAAAAAAAATAATTAAAAAGATTTTTGCAACTTATTTTTTTAATTATTTCTTACGTTTTCTCATTATTATTATTTTTATCATATTAAATAATAATTCTACAAAGAAATGTATGGACATATTAGGTGTTGGAATTAATTCGTAGCGTTTTTAATGAAAGAATGTTATTTATTTCACATGAGCATTAAAAAATACATTAATGAAAGTACTTCCCATCACTTGTAAAACGCTACGAATTAATTCCAACACCTAATATATAAAATATGCCATGTTGTATATACATATTATACAATTATACAATTATACGTTTATATATATTTATATAATGATCATACATGAAAAACCAGGATATATTGTATTGGGTCATCTAAAAAGTATCCGCGGTACTTTGTCACTAGATATATGATCATCAACACACATCTAGTGACAAAAAACCGCGGATACTTTTTAGATGACCCAATATAATAATATCTGCAATTATATTAATGTTGTAGTTTAAAAGTTGTTTTCGCGTTTCCCGAATAATAGTTTACAAAATGGCTTTACAAAAGAAAGAGTATATGCGTATATATCCATATGGATCGTATGTCCACGGACGTATTTTATATATATATATATATTTATGTATGTTCATATTATACATGAAAAATTTTTACCGTTTTAGATACTATTGTTTCACGTTAATACCATAATCTGCAAAAATAATGAAAACATTATATGTACTTACTTCCTTATCCGTTATGTACTATTTTAACATCATTTTTTATCTTTCCATGGATTTTTTTTTTAAATAATTTCTTTTCAGATGATGAAGAAAGCAAATCTGGCAGTTCAAATGCTAATCGTGTATCCCGCGCAGCCATATTGCATTGATCTGGTACGATCTCTCGGAGTTCGTGTCGAATTCTTGCACTAACATGCAAAAATTCAATATTAGGATTTCTAATGAAACATCGCGCACCGTTTTCGCACTACGCACTGAAACGCCCAGTAAAACACGTTACCTGCGGCGAGTGCGCATCAGTTTTCCCAGTGAAAAACGGATTACATGACATTTTCCTGAAAAACTAGACTAGAAAATTTGGTACTAACAAAAACCCCTAGGCAACACGATTTTAATTTATACGGATTTTAATTTATACGGATTAGTAACATCATTGAAGTAGTAAGTCCATAAGGATGAAATCACACAGTGCGGAAAACAACTGCGGAATAGAGAATGCGTCATAGAAGCAACCAATCAGCGTTCTTCTGCGTTGTTTCGAATAGCGTTAATTGATTATTTCAATGATGCATTCTCTATTCCGCAGCTCTTTTCCGCACCGTGTGATTTCATCCTAAGTCCACAAAGCCCTAATACTCTACAAACTAATACTCGTATGCATAGTCAGGTTTTATATTTAAAGCTTCCTTAAATTTATCTTTAGATTACGAATTATTTCATTGGCTAAGCATCTAAAGATAAATTTAAGGAAGCCTTAAATTTATAGCCTAAATATAATACTAATAAGATCTGACTATGAATACATGCGTTCTACGCACAATAGAAGGAATAAGGAATTAGGAATAAAGAATAAATGATTTTAATCTATCAGAAATCAGACACATTAGAATACATGATTTCTGATAGGTTGAAATCATTTATTCTTTATTCCTAATTTCTTATTTTTTCTCTTGTACACAGGGCCTTATGGACTTACTACTTTAACAGCCTAGTTTCCACCGAGAGTTTAATCCAGATCAGAATATAAGAGCCAACCAACTACAGTCAAGCATAAACTATAGTCAAACCTAACCCTGTCGTTCGACTGTAACAGAGGAATATTTGACTGTAGTTGGTTGATTTTTACATTCACATAGTGTTACTAAGACTGTGTTCCAAAATTCACTGCCAGCGCTGAAAATCTACAGTTTATATATGCTATACATTTTCAGCACTGGTAGTGATTTTGGAACACACACCTAATCCATAAAATTAAAATAGTATTGCCTATTTTTGTTAGTACCAATATTTTCCAGTCTAGTTTTTCGGGAAAATGTTATGTAACTGAAAATTATCCCGACTCAATATATATATAGCGCTATGTATACGTTCTGTATTAATTACACAAATTTACTGATTTAAAAACAAATTTTCTGCTTTACAAACACAAATTCACTGCTTTTAAAACAAAAATTTGCTGCTTTAAAAACACAAGTTCTATGCTTCACAAACAAATTTACTGCGTTAAAACACAAAGTTTAAAAATACAAATTCACTACTAATGCAAAGAATTTGTATGTTTAAAACAGTGAATTTGTATATTGATTAAAGCAGAATGTGTACATAGCGCTATATTGAGTCAGGATGATAAATATTTTAACTTTTAAAGTCTTCAACTTTACTTAATAACTTAATTCACGAAGCTGACCGTTGTTTTGTCAGATTTTTTTGAGTGAAAATGCATCAAATAAGTATATGTTTATTAAGATTTTAGGTAGGGTGGGGTATTTTAAATAATTATCGAGAATATATGATGTGAAATTTCTTTTTAAATTAAATTTATACATTCTGTCATGATATTTATAATTAAAATGTTGAACTTTAAATTTCAGAATAAATAACACATAGTGATACATGGCAGAAATCTATTGTCTCCTCACTATAGATTACAAAGATTA